TGGAAGAAGGCAGACACAAAAAAAGCACATCTTGTATGATACTATTTATATGAAATATCCAGAATAAGTATATGTCTAGAAACAGAAGACTAGTGGTTGGAAGAAGCTGAAGGTTGGGAAGAGATGAGGAGTGATTGTTAATGGGTAGATGATTCCTTTATGGTGTGATAGAAATGTTCTAAAATTATATGTGATGTGGTTATACAGCTCTGAACATTTCAAAACCATTGGCTTATACATGTGAAAAGAGTGAATCGTATGGTGTATGAATCTCTCAACATTTAAAAAGAAAAACCTATTCCACCTTTTTGAGTGATTGGAGAATGACCAACGGTCTTTCATAACTCAGTTTATGAAATAACATGCCAGTGAAATAATACACAATTTATAATTTGGGGTTAATTCGGGGGAAGCATGGGGGAGAGAAGCTATAAACCTGATGCACACAGATGTAGACTTTTGTTACAGATGAATCAGGAATTTTGAGAGGAGGAAAACAGAGCACTCTTGGAAAAGGGAAAACACACAAGTTGGGGGAGACCCCAAAGACAACCGTGAGAACTTGGGTCAGGGCACCAGAAAAGCTGAGAGTGCACCTTGAGGAGAAAGGAAAACTGCCTTTAACTTGGCAGGAAATGTCTTGGGGTCCAGCGTCGTGTCTGTTGACTTCATCTCCTTCAAAGATTATTCTCCTCTTGGTTACACCAGAGAAAATTAACTTTATAGGACTAGTAGGGACACTAAAGAGTAGGGGCTGAAATGAGAAATTATTCTTAGCTGTGCAGCAGGTGAGTTGAATGATCCAGTTTCAAGTTGTCATTAAAAAGTGAACTTGGAAGGAAATTGTGAAGAGTCACCACTGAGGAACCATCGCCATCATATAAAATCTTCTCAGAGGCTGAAGTCTGTATCGAAGTTATGGCTCCGGCTGATATACTCTGACATAAGAAGAGTAAATTTCCCTTCTTTTACCTTTTGGCACATCCCGAAAGGCAGTCAGAATATAAATGTCTGTTCTGCTGTTCTGATGACACAGAAACGCTCCCATTCAGAAGTACAACTGGTATACCGTACAGCGCGACTGAAAGGCCAGAAGCAGGACTCAGCCACACGCACCATGGGCTCTGCTCTGCCCCTCTCAGGGCAAATGGCAGTCTCAATATTGGGTCCTGAGTAGCACTTGATTCTTTCATGTGTGCCTATATATGTGCATGTTCATACATATATATGAAAAAATAATTGCACAGCAAAACACTTCTGCAGTGTACAACATAAAAACTTCAAAAGTGATATGGTGAAAATTTTGTTTCTTCATCACCCCTGACAATTAACTATGGTTCCTTATGTGTTTGTCCAGAGATACTCTATCAAGGCGCCACCGCCAGCCTATTCCTTTTCCTGCCATAGCCAAGCACTTTATTTCAGACCACTGCGTATTTAAAAGTATCCAATTATAGTTACTGGCCATGCGGGTCAGGGAGGCCGGAACCAGTGGTCCTGCATGCTGAGATGCATCAAAGCCTTATTAAAAATGTTTGGATCCCCATGCAGCCCTGCTTATACCTAAGTTTACCAGGAGATTTAGGTAGGAATGGGGTTGAATGGGCTTCATCTTTTAGGAAATCTGGAGTGCGGATAAAAGAAATAAAGGTTTCAGAGCTTCAAGTTCTGCACCTGCTCGTGGTCATCATTAACCATCTTTACTTGGAATGCGCATCAGGTGGAACGCCAGTCTGGCTGTAAATTGCAGCAAGCTCTCTTAGATGGGAATGTGGAACGTCCCTTGCTGTACGCCTGCGGGGCCTGAAGAAATGGACCTGTGAGATGCAAAAAATAAATGAAATCAAACTGTTCGATTATATATTAAACATGAAAAACAAGTAACAATGGCATTTATAGTTTCCATTTTTGTAAACTAGTAAGACATTAGAAGAAAAATGTAGCACAATAATGTACTAGACGTTAACAGTGTTATCTAGGGTGGGGTTATTAGGTGTGGGATGAGGGCAGGATGGACTTTCTTCAGTAGCCAACTCAGTGTTATGTGAACTTTTTTTTTTTTAAGACTTTATTATTTATTTGACATGGAGAGACAGCGAGAGAGAACACAAGCAGGGGGAGTAGGAGAGGGCGAAGCAGGCTTCCCGCTGAGCAGGGAGCCCGATGCGGGGCTTGATCCCAGGACCCTGGGATCATGACCTGCGCCACCCAGGCGCGCCCCGTGTTAATGTGAACTTACTAAAATAAGAGCATATCTTAATTTCATAATAAATATGGTTTTAATGTACAGTTTTCAAGAGGTCTTCTGAGTATGTAACTATGTATATGTGTGTGAGGACTTTGTTTCTTTAGACTTCAGGTGTCCTGTGGTTGTCTTTCCTAAGGCCTTAGTGAACTGTCCTCTGTCCTTACTTTGAAATAAGGATACCAAGTTGATCAAAAAATAAATTCTTAGAGCAGAGTAGTTTTTATTCAAGCCACAGGGCCTTCACAGACAAGTTAACCAAAAAGCAGAGGGATTGGGTGGGGGAGACGGATGGCAGAGTCCATGTTAAATCATGTATATTTTATTTCTAGTCATAAATCCCTCTAGTGAAGACATACCATTTTCTTTCATACTTTTCAGAACACTCTGCAGTTAACAACAACAACAAAAAAGCATGATAGAACAACCCTTTGCTGTTTTTAACTAGGGGTATTAATTTTATATCTTAACTAGTTGAGGCATTTGGTTTCCAACTTAAAGGATCACACAAAGTATGTATAATGGCTAAGAATGCACTCGGCACGTAGCATCTCTCGAGAGCAACTTGATAGAATATTCATAGTGGATTTTAAAACTTAGTACTCATTAACTGACTATCCCATTTCTCTGAATGTGTCTTGTAAAAATCAGTTATATACTGGAATGTTTAACCTGGTAAATTTTATTTTTAACATTATTCGTAAACGTCTGAAACATGAAGGGAATCTCAGTGTCCAAAATGGATGGTTAGACAAATTTCGGTATGTAACTAGGGCCAAGATGGTTTATGATGAGCTGTTAGCTTCAGTAAATAAAGTTTTGAAGACAGTTGATAGCATGAGAAATTATTTAATAACAAAATTATGTTAATATAAAAGGATGATATAAATCTTCATACCTTAATTTGTCAAAATGTGTATTATATGTTTTTTATATAGACTAAAGTTGGTAAAGAAAGTATTTAGGGTTTTTTTTTTTTCTTTCTAAGCTATTGGTAGGAATAGCTTTCTTTTTAAATGATTTCCTTCCCTCAGAATAACTAAAAATTCTAGTCCTTAGGAGGATTACTTTAATTTCAAATATTGTCAGTAATCATTTGAAATTCTGTTTTGGTACCATATCTGTTTTTTCTGTATTGAGATGTAATTGACATATAGTGTGTGTTAAGTCGTACAGCATAATGACTTGATTTACTGGTGTCATGACCGTGAACCAAAATAGTTTCACTAGCGTCCATCATCTTACGTAATTGATTTTAGTCTTTAAAAAATCCAAAGATGAACTTGGATTGGCAGTAATTCTTTCCTTTGGTCCAATGGACTTTTGCCTTCTTCACTGCTTAGAGAATATCCTTTTGTCATTGGGCTTTATAGTTCTCACTACAGAGCTACCTTCATTCACTCGTGTTAGTCTTTTCTCCCATGGGGACACCTTTATGAGTTAGACTTCTGTAATTTTTTTCTGGTTCCCAGATGTATTTTCTGTTTTAAGGCAGAGAAGCTTGTCATTATTTTCAAGTTATGTTAGATTTCCAGCGTAATTATTTAAAAGCCATAGAGAGACCTATTGATCCTTGATAAGGTGTAGTTCTGCACACGTGTGTGTTTACTCCTACTGCTCCTTAGTTTAACTGTTCATAACATGCCCTCTGTGGATTCATTATGTTTTAAGTCAGGGACAAGTGGCATTTGTGTATGTCTGCTCTGTGAACGTGAATCGGTAGATGATATATGAATACACATCCTGGTGGTAATATAAAACAGAAGTCACGCGTGCATGCATGCATGTGTGTAGTCATGATTGAAGTTCAAAGTCACAGAGAAGCAGTCGAGTAAGTTGCAAAATAGCCCTTTCCTTGAAGGGAATGCGCTTGAGTACGAAACAGAACTCTGTGTTAGTTTTACATTTCTATTCGATGCAATATAAGGTTATGGAAACGACTGGAAAAATAACTTCTCTGAAAGAAGTCTGGATGCAGAAATCTAATAGAGAAAATATTTGAGTATGGTTCATCAGCGAGTGCAACAGATATACTTCCCCAAGCACCACATGGCGTGGATCAAAGCATCCCAGGACTTGGATCCTTGTGGTCAAATCATTATGTATTGATTGGAACCCCACTGGAGGATTAACCCCTCGTGTTCATGCCAAGTTTTTTCTCACTCTTGGTGTCTATAATTTTAGGGATATAATCTTCCTGCAGTTATTAGTGTCTTTTTAAAGCTAATCATCTACTTGGATATATTTGTCTTTCTAAATTATTTCATTGCTCTATTCTTTGCTTGATAAAATTAATTTATGAAACGATCATACAATTATGTGAAAGCAGTTTTTTGGTGGAAGGGAGGAGGAAAATGTATAATATTCTGGGTAGAGAACAGCAAGAGAATCTCAAAATCAAGTACAGATTTTATCATTTTCATTATGTAGATTAAATGATAAATTCTAGCTTTTTAAAGAATCCTTCACAGCCTGAGTGTGGAGAGCTTTGCCTCTAACAAAAGCCTGTCAAACACTTTTCATACATGGTGGTCACATTGCTAACATTGGACTATTCACATTTTGGAATTTAACTCTTGCTTTTAAATAACAATTTGGAAATAGTAAATTCATGGGGAAAAAGACCCTTGGTTCCTCCATGTCCACTTTCAGCCATGTGGGTTCCTCTTGCCTTTTAAGTCTGGGGGGATGGATCTTGGCAACATATTCATTCTCTTGTCCTTTTGTGTGTGTGTGTGTGTGTTTTTTTTTTCAGTTTGTCCCATGAGGAGCATCCCCATAGTCATCCTCTCTATGGACATGGTGTATGCAAGTGGCCAGGCTGTGAAGCAGTTTGTGAAGATTTCCAATCATTCCTAAAGTAAGAATGATTTTATATTGCCTTTTTCTTTTACATAGCCATCACCTCCCGCTGCTCATGCTTTTCCTCATAAAATGCCTTTTTGATGGAGGGTTTCATACCACCATTTTGAGGATGGACTCTAAATCATGAGGTCTAGTGCATTGTCATAGGAATAGTTACAGAATCTGCCGAGGATTGAGTGTAAAGGGCAAACGAGGTATAACCAAGGACAGTTTTGATGCTGTTCGTAAGGGTCTTTGTTTAACCATTTTCTCAGAATGACAGTGATTAAATGAAAATTCTCCCAGTATTAAATTTGCAGTAATTTAGTTTTCACTTTTATTCATGTGTCTGCATACTGAATCACTGACCTACTAACTCTGATTTTTTAAAACTGCCGTCAGTTACTGGCCGGTGGTAGCTTGGTGATTGGGCCTCTTTGTTTTTTCTGCAAATGACCTTATAAACTCAAGAAATGGGTGCCAAGGAAATGCTACCACCTTGCTTCTTACCTTTCCATATTGGCGTTGGCTTTAGCTCAGATTCTTGTCCTTTTGGAGAGAATGGAGTAACTTTAATTTCTACAATTAAAGTATGACTGAAACTTGGGTTGCTCCATTTGAATCTGTAATGCTGTTAAAGTATCTCTGTAAATAAATGATACATGAATCTTCTCCTAGTTGAAGTGAAAGGTTTTTGCACTACATCTTATAATTTCTCTTCCCTACAATTACCTTCTTTTAATAAAATTTAGACTAAACCACCCTGTGTTATGGACACCCCCATAAATTTATTGTGATAGTATCATTGAATCATTGACAGACGGAGCGAATATAATAATACATTATACTTAGTATGTTTACATATCATGCAGTAATCCATCGTATGCGCACATATCACTCCTTTAAATCTGGCTTCATGATGGCTTACAAATTGGGTTTTGGGGGGTCTTTCCTTCTGTCTTTTCTCTCTCATTCAAGCCTCTAGAACTAGAAGCAGGCTGATTTATGTGCAGTTTTCTGGTTTAGTGTGGTCTTTATATTGTTAAAGCAATCTCTCTATTTAGCTTTATGGACCTGGATACAAATATTATAAGAACCTACCGTTAAAGGTACATCCAGTGTTACCTGAAAGGAGCTTTGGTGAATATCGTTTTTTAATTAATGAAGCCTATGAATCTATTTCAGAGCTTCCCAGCTTTATTAAGTTTACTTGAAAAGCATGAGGTGGTCATTAGAAACTTAAGTACTAAATTTTTTTAAAAAGAGATGCCTGAAATTTGTTTTAAGTATCAACATTCCAGAACAGTGACACTTCAGAGTAAGCAAAAGCCCTTTACAATTATTATGATTCAAGTTAGTGTTATTGGGCTTTGTTCTCTTATAAATCACTCATTATAAATCATTGTTTTGTTGTTGCCTAATTGTATTTAGATAATGAGAGAAAAAGACCTTGGCAGAAGCCACTTTCAAATTCTGATTTCACCTTCTGCACCAGTGCTAGCTTTGATGAAAGTATGGGTGCTAATTTCGCTCATCTGTAGAATGGCTGATAACCATCTGTAAATAAGATTTATTTTCATAAAGTCTCTAGAAATATACAATTGCTATGAACATTCTCAGTGTATCAGTTTTAGAGTCACAAGGGAAAAGGGCAGTTTTCCAATATGATCCATTTTAAAAATGTTAATTACCAAAGTATTTCCACCCTCATCCTCAAATTAGAAGTCCATTTATTATATAAACTGACAGTTATGTGGTATGTATAGAGATAGAGGTATATAAAATGTATATATTATATATAATTTTATCATATAATACATATTATATATATTACATATATATAATCTTTTTTTTTTCTTCTGTGCCTCCACCATTTGATAGCACAATTTCAAACCACACCTCATGCTAAAGAAAAGAATCTAAAGATCATCAGAATTGGGGCCTAGACCAATTCCTTTAAAAAGAAAAAAAAAAGCCCCTTTTAAGGATATTAGGAAGCTGGCTGTTTATAGGAAATGACCTCTCAATTATTTATTGTGGTTTTGCACATGAAATGACATGTTCTCAGTTCATATTTGCTCAGTGGAATTGGAATGCCCACTATGAACCTGCAACTGTTGCTTGTTTATTTCCTCGGACTTATTTGTCGACTTGTATTTGTTAGAAGACTTTTGTTTGCAAGCTACAGAAACCTGACTTAAATTGGTTTAACCCCTCATCCTTTCCCCCAACTAAAAAAGCCAGGGGGTAAGGAATGATAATTGACTCTTGTAACTGGGAAGTCCGTGGCTGGATTCAGATGCTTAAAACAGTGTTGTGGGAGTATTGGTTCTCTGTCTCTTAGCTCGGTTTTCTTCTGTGTTGCCTTCGTTCTTAGGCTCTTTCCAAGTAGAGCTAAGGAAGACAATGCCATGCCGTAAGTTTATTCATCTCAGAGTGCATCTCTTTTCCCGTAGTGCCAGCAGTAGTCCTGGGCAGACTGTCATTGACCCAGATTGAGTCATGTGTTCCAGCTTTGAGCCAGTCACAGCAATGTAGCCAGGCTCCCATCAGATGCCCACCTCCAGAGCAGATAGAGATGTGTTCACCCCACGTGAACCACATGGGGGCTAGGGAGGAGAGACTTGGTTCCTGAGTGTGAAAAATGAGTATGTAAATCAGCAAAGGGAGAGTAAATCCTGAAGAAAAAAAAAAAAAGTAACCTAGAACTCACTGTTCTCTAACTGCTTTCCTCAGTTACACATTGATTGGCCATATATGACGAATTCAGGATTCTGAGTTTCCTCTCTAGCGTGATTTTAGCTCTTGGAAATTCAGAGCTGTCTTCAGGTTTCAGTGTCTTGCTTAATGTAGTGGAAAATAAGTTAGTCTTCTTGCAGATTCACTTCTCCCACATCTCTGTGCATCTAAAGAGTAATCAGTGGCTTTAATGAAACCAACTTTGCTTTCCATTGAACTGGACTGGAAGAGCTACCGTATTTCGTGGGGGGGTCAAACAGAAACCACGTGGCCTCTTTGACTCATGTCACCATGGAGTCATTGTTATTGGGAAGTGATGTTTTAAGCATTTCTTCTCTAACTGTGCCAGATTGTAGATTCTGGAAGCACTTCTTTCTTGGGTTCACTCTTCTTTTCCATTATCCCTCTCTAGAGGTGTTTTCTTATGGTTTAAGCAGGTTGATAATCAGCAGTGCTTGGATTCTCCAAGGCACTCCTACTCAGCAAAATGTAGTATTTCTCTGACCTTGACTTAGTTGTTGCTTTCTAGTTTTTTTTCCCACCTACCTTCTGATTCCCTGATTTTACCCTCCGCTAGTAAGGGTTTATAATTAAACATCTGTGCAACAGGGACAGTTCCAAGTACTTCACATATGCAGTTGACCCTTGAACAATATAGATTTGTTGCGGAGATCCACTAACATGCACATTTTTGTTTTCCAATAAATACAGTAGTTTTATAAATATATTTTCTTTTCTCATGATTTTCTTAATATTTTCTTTTCTGCTATAGCTTACTTTATTGGAATCTACTATATAATACATACAATGTATAAATCTGTGTTAATCAACTTTTTATGTTGTTGGTAAGTCTTCCTGTGAACAGTAGGCTATTAGTAGTTAAGTTTTTGGGGAGTCAAAATTACAGATTTTTGCTGCGTGAGGGGGTCAGTGTTCCTAACTCCCACATTTTTCAAGGGTCAACTGTCTAACTCATTTAATCCTCAAGCCACCTTGGTAATATTAAGGTATTACTCTCAGATAAGGATAAGGAAAGGGACGGATAAGGAAACTGACACAGAGGGGTTAAGTGATTTTCCCCAGCGTCACACAGCTAGTAAGAGGTGGAGTCAAGATCCAAACCCAAGCTGTCTGCCTTTGTAGTTCAGTGCCTGCTCTTAACTGCCATACAGTACCGCCTGGTTAGAAGCAGTGCAGCTTATTAACTATATGCTTTCAACTTAAGGCAGTAGGTGTAGAAAAAGCTTTGAAGCAAAGGCAGTTTGGGTGGTGAAGCCACTTTGTATGAGTGTGTTCTTTGAGGTAGTTACATAGCATTTCTGGGCATCAATACCCGCACATGCAATTTGGGATAATAATATTAGTACCCCATCTCTCAGGGTTGTTGGAATTAAGAGGTACATCATGTAAAGTGCCCAACCCATACCATTCTTTTCTTATCTATCCACTTACATATATTTTTAAAGGAGGGATTTTAAAAATCCCAACGTTTCTGACATTCCTAGGAAAGGTATCGTGATGCTGCAGAGCATTAATCTGTCAGAAGAGACTAATCTTTAATATAATTTTTTTAACCATAAAGTTCTTGTCAAAAGTCCCACATAGTCAAATGTGACAGGGGTGGGGGGGGCAAGGAATGGGAAGCTTTTTCTGTAAAGGATCAGACAATAAATATGCTGGGTTTCACAACTCCTCGCCTCTGCCATCGTGGCATAAAAGCAGCTGTAGGACCGACCGTATGTAAGGAATGGGCATTCGGATTGCTGACCTCTGACCTAGGGTAAACTTGTTTGACGTCATAACATTCGTAGCTGAGAAATCTTTTTGTATGTCCTTGGCCAGTTGCTATGCTGGGTTATTTTAGTCTAGATTCACAGAGCCCTTAGGTTTATTCATATTTTGAGGAAACATCCATGCTTGTCTTGCCCTGTTACTTCATTCACCAGCCACAGTTTTTATACTTAGGTGGGCTTGGGTTTTTCCACCTGGTTTTTAGGGCTCAGTATGAAAGGGGAAAGTGACTTTGCTCGGTAACTGTTCCCTGACCCCCTTTTGCTCAGGCTCATAAGATGTAACTTTTTAGAGAGGCCAAGATCAGTTATTCAGGATAAAAATCCCATCTGACAATAAAATGCCACTGTTCACAGAAAGAGAGGTTAAGGGAAGGGAGGGGAGACTCATGGGTCTAAAAATGAGGCATAATCTTTTTTCCCTCCTGAGAGCAAAATATCGTAACTGTTGGTAAATCAAAACCAGAGATTTGACACTTTTCTGTGA